TTACCTTGCTTCCTTCTCCCATATTTGGTCCTGGAGGATGGCCTCTACCATTCCCTCGTACAATAGTCTCTAGCTTGCTTGATAGTTTAGTTTGCCGGGAGATAGATTGGTAGATGTGCCACCTCCTCTTCTTGCATGCTTGCTTCTTGGCTTTCCTCGCCATCCACTTCCATTTATTGCCTAGTTGCACGTCATTTGGTAGGAACCCAAAGACGAAACACCGTGCCCTCCATATCCAATATATTTGTGGGTGGAAAGGAAAAACCTTGAAGACCCCAAATACCATTCTTGGTCAGAGTTACAATCTTAATCTTCGACTTTAGGGTCTCAAAGGATATAGGTGTCGTTCTCAAATCCATGCGAAATGTAAAAGCTGTAAAGTGCAACGCTCCGTGCAATGTCGCAAGCCAATGATCCTTCTTATATCTATTCGGTTTATAGAGGATTGCCAAAACTAGATGCAAGGGCTTAGAAGTGTGCATGCTATGAAAAAACGTGACATCTCTGGCAGTTGTCCTTACTCTTGTATTTTCCACCCGAGAACCTAGCAATAATTGGTCGATCAATCTCCACTCCGATTTCAACTCACTGGCCTTAGACAACTTAACCTCCCAGTGTCGATCACCTGCCTCCTTGACCTCAGATTTATAAAATGTCTTGAAGCATGAAAAGTCACTCTCCCTAGTCAAGGTACCAAAGCCATCCAAGGAATCCACAAAGTCTGCTGGATATATATCTAAAGCTCTCATGAATTCCCAAATTAACATCTGGCAATGCTCTCCTCCAAATTTGAATTCAATGTTGTTTTCTAAATCTGAGCACCTTGGAGATCTTGAACAGTTAGTGTGCTAAGAAATTCCAGAATGAGCACTCTATAGATGGTCTCTTGAATGCTTAGCAACTTCAACCACTCCGATTTGTTGATTCTAGCCTCAATGAATTCCTCAATCCCCAGCTGAGCGAAGGAAAACAAGTTGAGACAAGTGTTCTCGCCTAAGGGAAGATCTTGGGGCCATAGGAGTTTGGTGGTTAAGCGCTCTGGAATATAGCTTCTAGATAGTAATAAAGGACATGCTCCATAACAACTCCAGATTAATCTTGTACAATGACTCGTTCTAACTACAACATCCCCATCGAAGATGAAGTATAACCGGCGACCAGATGTAGCATAGGGCAAGCAAGCAATAAGAATTTATCGTACCACGGGGATCTAGGCTTGCCCTACTATAGGTTTAGGGTTCGTTATCTAGCCAACCTAGGATGGTGATTAGAAGAATTAAACTAACTAACCTAGCTATTTACAAGGTTTGTGAGCTCTCTTGGGTTAAATCCCCCTATTTCTAGTCTTTGGATCGATGTTGAGTACTATCCTAACTCGATCGATTCACTATTCTACCGTTATGAGATTGACTCACTCAGGACGGACCCTGAACGACGAAGTAATGGATGGGTAGGAGCTCTAATCAACCTAGGGTTTCATATATTGCTAGGAGACCAGTGGAATCAACTCCCTCGGGGATTACCCGGACAATATAAGATAGGAGTGACCCAAAGATGCCAATAATAGGCTCTAGGGGATTTTCTCACCCTAGGCCAAAGCTCAATTGACAAGTCAAGGAATCCAAACTCATTCAATCATTACCAAAAATCAATCAAATAGGTAAATTCATCAATCAAAGATAGAATTTGTCACATACATCAACAAGGAAACAAAATCTAGACTTTGGGTTCTTAAACCCAAGAGAAGAGGTGAGTAACTAGAGAGAGAAGAGAGAGATTACAAATTGGAGCCCAAGATCTTCTTCTTCTAAACTTGATTCCTTGCTTCCAAGCTTGATCAATTCCTTCAATTAAGCTCCAAGATCACTCAAGAACTCACTCTCTCTCTAGAACTCCCCTTTGGTGTTTTGGGTCGACACCCTAGAGAAAGAAACTAATTCCTCTCCAAAAACCAGCTCCCCTTTTCCTTCAGCTCAAATCCCTTTTTATACCCAGATCAGGCTCAGTTCACTATTTAGGCTTCCAATTCACGGTCTTAGAGACAGTGAACTGACTTGATGCTAGTAACTTCAAAAACCGTTCAGGAATTGGTCACTTCACGGTATGGGCTTTCAGTTCACGGTCTTAGAGACCGTGAACTGAAGCTCTAGCCCGTGAACAGGGCTAAACCTCCACTTTTTGGCTCGTTTTGACCTCCGAATGACCCAAAACTCATCCCGGACCTTCCCACACGTGCGAGGACCTAAAATGTAACAAAACAAGCACAACCTAGCATAAAATAGGTCGAGGGACGGTGATCTACTAAGCATAACAGATAAGAAATGATGGGTAAATGTGTACATTTGAACCCGAATCATATAATCAGTTGATATCTAGTAGTTTGCTCCAAAGGTGGTTATGGCTGTGGATTTGGTGCCTCGATGATAACTTCTCTTTGGTAGTGTTTTACTCCTATTCTTCTTCTTTGAACCATGGTGGGTGCTCAGGGAGTTGGAGTTTTCCACCAGTTGAGAGTTCTCTCCTCGAACCATGCCCTTATGCTTGTTGGATACCCTATAAAAGTAGTGTGTACCAAATGTACAAAAACACAATTAATCCACTTAACATTGATAATTGAAATTAGAAGTAGCACTCTACATTCATTCTTTGTCGTCCCTTTGTTGGATTTCCTCCATTACTTGATCGCCGGAAGGCGATCTCGAGCTATCAAAACTAGGTTTTGTGATGCCTTATTGGTCAGTCGACCAGAGGCAACCTAGTTACCACCTTATCCGAATTTTCCTTCTTTGACGATGATTCCAGACCCAAATTCTATTGATTGGATTCTTCTTCGAGATCGACCTAAAAGATGTCGCCTGAAACATCGATAAATCTTACGATATTACTCAACATAAGGTCAAAGGATAACATATCTTGTTCTGCTCCTTTGGTTTCCGGTGCTTTTTGGGTTAATCTTTCTGGCGGGGAGATGGTTAACCACTAACCGCATTGATAGTTAACGGTTAATCGCTAAGCTTTTGGGGGTCGGCTAACGTTAATTATTTTTGAGTTTGTGGATAACTGCTAACCACATTATTGATTAACGATTAAGTGCTACCCGACCCGATCATCATCCTATTTATTTGTTAAATATATAACCATCATAATTAACTGACTTTTTTGTGGCGCCCTTTTGTACGATGAGATAATGTTGACATTTGTGTGGATGTTTAATACCTTCTTGGAATGCATTGGAAAGAAGAACCACAGTCTATCTACATTGACCAAGCTCTTACACTAGCTCTTGGTATATGGATTGCTTTCTATTATGTTTTTGAAGGTTAGTCCACATTCTTCTCATCACACAAAAAGCAATGTCTAGGAAATAGGAATGGTTCATGCTGTGATTTTGAAATTCTTACAGATCTTAGTTATTTGACGTTCAATGTTGAGAATGATAGTGATTTTTTTTTGGTAGAAAGAATGATAGTGATTTTAGGTATAATTGAGTGAAAATGATTGAGAAATATTTTCCTAGTGAGAGTCTCGTGGGACTTGAATGGCTAGAAGGAATCTATAGTTTGAGGCAGAAGTGACACTCTATATGGGTTAAGTTTCATTTTGGTGCGCTAACAAAGAGCAAACAGTTGAGTAAGCGTACCAACAATAATGTGAAACAATATATTTAATATGATTTCAGTATCATAAGTTCTTGAATCATTTTTAATGGTAGAGAATAAAAAGGGTTGAGGAGGAGCTTCAAGAGTTCCATGAATTGAATAGGATGGATGCTTCTTGATTTTCTTATAGTCCATTTTCAATCACGGTGGGAGTACTCCCCTCCCCTGTGAGAGTACTCCCTGCAGACAAAAAGAATAACTGTTTATGTAGTATTTGTTAGGGATGTGAAAATCACAAGAGACACTTGGACGGTCTGGTCATTCTTGGATTGATCGTATGGCTTAGATCTAGAAGATCATGCGCGCGGAAAATCCTAAGGCTTCCCACCTTCCTACAAACATCAGGCCTCTCGCCCTCGTTATGGGCTCTCATGCATATTTTTCTGCACTTTACATTCATTCTGTGTCATCCCTTTGTTGGATTTCCTCCATTGACTGGATCGCCGGAGGACGATCTCGAGCTATCAAACCTAGATTTTGTCATACCTTGCTGGTCAGTCGACCAGAGGCGACCTAGACACCAATCCACCCGATTTTATTTTTCTTTGACGAGGAATTCTATAGCCAAATTATATTGATTCGGTTCTCCCTTTGAGATCGACCTAAAAGATCTTGCATGAAACATCGATAAGTCTTACGATATCACTGAACATAAAGTCGAAGTAAGACATATTTTGTTCACCTTCTTTTGTTTACCGGTGCTTTTTTGGGTTAATCTAGAATCATGTGTAGGATCATACAAATATATTTATATCTAGAATAATTAAGCAATTTGGGATTATATTATAGAAACGGATGTAAACAATGTATCAAATAGTAAATGGCCGAAATTGTTGATGCACAGACCATTCGTTAATCCGAACATACCCCTTCTCAATGATAGAAACTAATTAGTGTATAATCATTTCTAATTCATAATTACGATCCAAACTTAATCAATCCTCCGGAGATGTATGTAACTAAGGGTGTATATAAAAATCTCTCAAATGTAAAAACAGTTGCAGTTTCCCGGCAAAAACACATCAAGTCTCCTCCCAAGTCCCTACCTAAAATTTTACCTCCAAAAATATCAAAAAGCGGGAAATGCAAATTAATTTATATAAAAAAAAACCCAGAAAAGATTGAATAAAAAATTGCATCCCCTCGTTACCTCATATATATTTATATCGAACCCATCAGATTGATCCACATTCTACCACAATCAATCCACACACACACAAACACTCCGCTCTTCCCCTTCCCCTTCCCCTTCTTTCAGTTTCCCTAGCAGGCCTCTTCAGTCCGGCGAGCACAAAACCGTAAATAAATATGGCAAGCAGAGGATGATCAACCGTCGTCACCCACAACCGCACCCAAAGTCATCATGTCGGCGCTGACGTCGTATTCCGATTGCTTCTCGGACCTCCTGTGCGAGGAGGACTCATCGGAGATATTCTCCGGCGAGTCGCCGGCGGATTGCTCGTCGGACATCGAGTCGTCATCCTGCTCGGAGGAATCCATCGCCTGTTTCATCGAGGGCGAGGACCGGTTCGTGCCCGGATTCGGCTACTTGGCCCGCTTCCACTCCCACTCTCTCGATGCCTCCGCTCGTGAAGAAGCTGTTGCATGGATTCTCAAGGTACAAACTCTACAAAAAAACCCACAGAAAAAAAAAATTATAATTACCTTTAACGCCACTGGTGACTGGTTGCCGTTTAAATTGGATCCCTTTCTTGTCACTTTGTGGAAACTCATGTGACCGTATGTGGTCGATCCATTATTATTGCCCGCGCAGGTCCGGGCGTATTACAACTTCGCTCCCCTGACGGCGTATCTCGCCGTCAACTACCTCGATCGGTTCCTTTATTCCCGCCGCTTGCCGGTAAGAAGAGTCGCCCGTTACGGCCGTTTGTTTATTTATCTCTTTATTATAAAACAAAACAAAAAAAAAAGGTGGAGAAGACAAAAAGATGTCATAACTTGAATAAATAATATTTTCCTCCTCGGGAAACGGAAAACTGCGCAGGTCTCCAGGAAAGCCATGTTCCCGTATTTGACTAGGAACGGTAACTAAGTTTGACTTTTCAAACCTTGTGCGAAACGACGTCGTGCATTAAACTGCTATTCCGTGTTTTCCGGGGGATGATTATTATTTTTATTAATTAATATATGTTTTTGGCTTGATGCAGCAAACGGATGGATGGCCGTTACAGCTGCTATCGGCGGCATGCTTGTCGCTGGCGGCGAAGATGGAGGAGCCGATGGTTCCGGCGCTGCTGGATCTACAGGTGGAAGGCGCCAAGTTCGTATTCGAGCCAAGAACGATCGGACGGATGGAGCTTCTGGTCCTGACGGAGCTGGATTGGAGACTGCGGTCCGTAACTCCGTTTAGTTTCATTGGGTTCTTTGCATGGAAGCTGGACCCCACCGGGAGTTACTCCGGCTTCCTCGTTTCAAGAGCTACGGATATCATCTTGTCCAATATCCAAGGTAGTGAGGGAAACAAATTAATAAATACACTATACCGTATTTATCCATATATATACGTATCCCATTCCTGTATTATACTAATGTGGTGTACGTTGTGAATACAACAAAAAAAAAAAAAACAGAGGCTAGCTTTGTGGAGTACCGACCGTCGAGCATCGCCGCCGCGGCAGTACTCTGTGCCGCCGACGAGATCCCAAGCTTGTCTCTCGCCAATCCCGAACACGCCGAGTCTTGGTGTGATGGGCTAAGCAAAGTAAGCAGGGAACATTAAAAAAATAAAAAATAATGATTCCCCAGTTGGATCAATAAATGTCTTGATTGTGTTATACTAAATTCGTTGCCATGCATTATGATGATTTTAAATCATCATTGTTCTTGTAGATTCTTCGTTGTGCCAATTATGAATATTATCTGTACGAACTTGGAAGCGTATTTATTATATTTTGTGTGCTGTGATAATGATGATAAATTTCCCGGTGGTCCTGATCGATGACGATGATGAACTTTTGCAGGAGAAAATCTTGAGCTGCTATCGGCTAATGCAAGAGCTGGAGCAGGAAGCTGGGCGGTCATCAAAAGCGGCGGCGGTACTGTCGACGCCGCCGCCGCCGCAGCTACGGGTAACGGTACTCGGTGGCAGAAAGAGGTCTAGTAATGCTTCTAATACTGATACTGCTACCGAGTCATCATCTTCGTCTTGTTCTTGTTCATCGTCATCATCTCCGTCTATTAAAAGGCAAAAATTGAGTAACTTATTGTGGGAAGATGGTGACAAAGGAAGCTCCGAGTGATGGGAAAGAAGGGAATCAAAAACAAAGGAAAAAACGAGAGAAAAGAGCGGGGGAGAAGGTGGTGGGTGTGGGGCAGAAAAAAAAAGTCTCTATATATACATCCAAAAATTATTGGCATTTAGAATCCTCGGAAATATTTTGGTTGGAAGATGGGTTTCGAGAGTGAAGCATTGACTCCAGCGAGTCGTCATAAATTATACATAAACTATATATATATTTAAGTCTTAGTATAATAATGTATATATATGGGTATGGGTTTGGTGAGAGTTTGGCAGATTTATTGATTTTTTTTTTTTTGAGAGATGGAGAGGTTGCTAGCTTTTGAATTGGAGAGCAGCAACTGAGCTAGCTAGAGAGTAGATAAGCCTTGCCTGCCTGGCTGCCTTGCCACTTTGATTAATATTGATGGCATTGCAGATTTCCCATTGGTGGGGAGAGAAGGAGAGGCAATTTTTTTTCGTATTCTTTTTCTTGTGTGAGAAAGTCAGTGAAGGAAACGAAGAAAAAAAAAAGAGAGAAAGAGAGCTGTCAAAGAAGTGGGTTGTAGTTCAATGGCAGCATCAATCGACTATTGAAAAACAAGGGCTGGCTGGCTGGCAGCGTCAATGGAGGGACCCCCTTTTGGTCATTTATTAAGGCGGAACTTTCAAAATGGGTTCGGCAGAAATCGGATTTGATGTGTGCAAGCGAGCAAGTCTGTGGTGTGGAGAGACTAATGGAAGTCTACACTCTACATTACTGCTGCGACTGTGCTGCTGCTGCAAATAGTTGCATGGTGGCTTCATTCATCGATCAATGCCCTGTTGATAAGGATACGTTTCTTGTTTGGAAACGTTTCGAGAAGAGTGGATTTGTGATGGGAGGCCCAAAACTGTTTGCTTTTCCATGGCGGTGGTGCAACATCCTGGGCTCGTCATCACACGTGTGTATGTGTGCTTTTTTGGCGGGAAACATTTTTGGAACCCCTTTTTTCTTTTTTTTTACTCATAAAACATACTAGAGAAAGAAGACTCCTTTCCGGTCCTTTTTACCTTCCCACGGCCACGGGCGTCGGCGGTGGTGAATGGAGTTAGTATACGTGTGTGTAGAATCTTTTATTTTTTTCCTGTTTAAATTTTGTAATTTTTTTTAATTTGGTTTGGAAGATGGAGGAGGAGATTAAGGATCTCGCTTCCAAAAGAAAGGAGAGGGAGGGGGGCCCTCATTGAAACAAACCCCTGATAAAAAAAAAAAAAAACAAATACAAGAAGAAATGAAAGGGTCTTTGGGGCCTTTTGTGTTCATTCATCCATGGCGTGGTTGGTTTCTTTCCTTTGTAATCGTATCCTCCCATCAGATTTTGATCGACAATAAATAATAATAATAAAATATATTAGTGTATGTGTATGTTAATTGTATCATATCAGTTCATCACTTCATTCTCTCTGGCGAATGGGTCAGGGCATGTGAAGGGAGGAAAGGAAGGAAGGAAGGAGGATTTGGATTGGATTGGATTGCAACTTTTTTTTGTAGCTTTGCGATTTGTTTTTATTACTGCGCGCGCCACCATCAGCTTTTTGTGAGCCAGTCATTAGGGAGAGGAGAGGGGAAAAGTGTGGATTTTAGTGAAGAAGCTAGGCTGAGAGGAGCGCCCACTGGCGGCCATATCTGCCGACCTTTGCCTTGGCGCGCCCTGGTGAAGCGACTCTGTCTCGGCCCTTAATTTGGCCCCGCTGCTTTCCAATAATGATGGCCTTTGCTTTGTCCTCCATCGTGAATGCAATAGCAATAGCAATAGCAATAGCAACGCTCCTCCCCCCGCTCCTCTCCATTTGCGATCTAGCTCCTAGCTCCTTTAATTTTGTACTGTACGACTCTCTCTCTCTCTCTCTCTCTCTCTCTCTCTCTCTCTCTCTCTTTTAGTTTGTTGTAGTTGGTGGACAGTAACAAACACCCCCTGCCTCACCCTCCACTCTCTAGCTAACCGTTGGGTCTCAATCTGATACCATTTCCTAACAATTTATTCGTGTTGTATACTTCGAATCGTTAGTCGTCAGCCAATCTCTTCGTTCTGATCTTCTGTATTATTGTTTTACGATTAAAGGTAACCACACCCTGTTATTGTTGCTCATATTGAATGGCCCAAAAATATCACATGACTGGTTTGTCATAAGCTCAAGTTTTAAGTCACCATTTCTGTCAATTACCAATCAATGGTTATACAAACAGTTTGAAAACTATTGATCTATTGTGGCCGGTATGACTTTTGAACTTTCACAAGGAGCGACGGCCATCACACTTTAGTTTCATACGCCGCGTTACTTATTCGATGAATGTTATCGTTTGAGTGGGACAATTTAAAAGTCAATAATTTGTCAAGGATGACAACTACCATGCTCAACAGGGCCAAATATTCTGTAGTTAAGTTTGCATTCTATTCACATCTAACAAAGTTTTCCTGGATATAGTTCTATGGGGAGCAGCTTAGGTTAATAGTAGGATTCAGAGGGACAAAATATATATTCCACCTATGTGCTGAGGAAAGAAGAAGAAAAAAAAAAAGGCAGGAGGAGAGATGGGGGGCAGTTAAATGAGATTGTCATATAGCCCTGGATCCCCGACACACGACATTACATTATTGCATTGCTTTGCTGGTATACACACACAGTACTGAAAATATAAGATGGGGGAGAGGGAGGAAAACAGAGCATCTTGAGATGGAAGAAAAAGAAGAATGGTCCTTTTTAAGTTTTAACTAATTGCTTTTGAAAAGGGCTTCCCAACCAAAATACGTACCTATCCAACTCCCCCAAATCCTCTCTCTCTCTCTGCCTTTGTTTTTTTGGTCAAATGTATATTAACTCCTCTCTTTCTCCTGCAGCTTCATGCAGTGCCATACCCCAGTTCTGAGTTATTAGTTATGACCCATAATAATACTGCTCTGCTCTGCTGAATCTGAATAAACAAAATCCTCTCACCCCCACACTTTCTTTTTTCACTTTTCTTTATTCCCCCTGCTGCAGCAGTGCAGAGTAGTCTCCCTTTAAAGCTCGCAAATGAATGTGAGCAGTCGGTGGTTGCTGATATCATGAATCAAACACACCCCAAAAAACCCAACATATTAAAAAAAAAAAATACTACAATTTTATATATATTTTTTCAGCTGGCTAAAAATTAGTTTACTATTTTTTTTATTAGAATATAGCCAGTGGATCTATATGTATCCAATACAAGAATTCATCGATTCATTTGATCTCAATTCAGCTACCATAATCTTCTAGTTTTTATGTACATAGTACATTCATTTTAAGCCCCCATTTCACTATATCATAAAATGTTCTCTGATTTAGGATTGAGTTCAATTAAATTTTTTGCCAGCAATTAACCTTCTTCTTCTTTCCTCAATTATATTGTCGATCTGTAATTCTGTATTGTGCTCTTGTTTTTTAGTTCAGTATTATGTGGAGTATT